AACCCTTATAGCTTTTTTACTATTTATTCAAAAATGATCATTTTTAATTTTTTTAAAGCTTACGATATTGTTATTCATTATGTGTAAAAAAAATTTCAATTTTAATTATCAATAAAATTTTATTAGCGAAATTGCACAAAAAGTCAGCATTTTTTTCATGGCCATTTTCACTTCTATCGGCGATACCCAAAAAATGTATCCGAGTTTTTTCATGAAATTTTTCCTATTAATAGCCAAATAGTTACACTTTACAATAAAACAAAAATTGGCCTGCGCACTCTATGTTTTACACCTATTTCAGGCCTCAGAATCCAGCGAAAAATTACGAAAAATATTAACTTCAATAAACCCCATTTATTTCAACAACAAATTCAATGAGTAATAACAAAAAGACATTTATAATTTTATAAATATTTAATTTATTTATATTTCAAATTTCAACTAAATCGGTTGAAGAATAACGAAGTTATAACACATTATGTTCAGACGCCTGACCGGAAGTATGATCACAGCATTTAACCTTGAATGTACAGTTATAAAATTTTACACAAGCAAGTAATGCGTATTTGAAATATGAACACTTCCGGTCAGGCGTCTGAACATAATGTGTTATAACTTCGTTATTCTTCAACCGATTCAGTTGAAATTTGAAATATAAATAAATTAAATATTTATAAAATTATAAATGTCTTTTTGTTATTACTCATTGAATTTGTTGTTGAAATAAATGGGGTTTATTGAAGGTAATATTTTTCGTAATTTTTCGCTGGATTCTGAGGCCTGAAATAGGTGTAAAACATAGAGTGCGCAGGCCAATTTTTGTTTTATTGTAAAGTGTAACTATTTGGCTATTAATAGGAAAAATTTCATGAAAAAACTCGGATACATTTTTTGGGTATCGCCGATAGAAGTGAAAATGGCCATGAAAAAAATGCTGACTTTTTGTGCAATTTCGCTAATAAAATTTTATTGATAATTAAAATTGAAATTTTTTTTACACATAATGAATAACAATATCGTAAGCTTTAAAAAAAATTAAAAATGATCATTTTTGAATAAATAGTAAAAAAGCTATAAGGGTTTAAAGTTGGTTAAATTTTTACGAAATCATAATTTCGCTAAAGTTGCATAAACTGCAAATAACTTAGGAACTAATGGGCGGATCACGCCCATTTTTTGCATAGGGTTGTGTTGCTATGTAAGTCACGTACATATGTAGTCCAATAAGTGCAAAAAGTATTTTTAACGATAATAAATGATTTAATATGAAAATTTTGTATGGGGGGTGGGTGTGGCAGTGGGCGAAAAACCTTAAAAAAATGTTGAAATCTAGATAATAACGTAAGTTTTCCGGACACCAAAATTCAGCTTTCTACCTATCATAGTTTTGAAGTAATCTTGGGACCACGGTAAAATCCCCATGTTTGGGCAAAAATTTCGGGTAGTTCCGGTAGGCCGATTGAGCTCAAATTAGATTTAAAAGAAAGATCAACTCAAAAACTATATTTTAGGAAAAATTTCATATCAATATCTCTACTGGTTCCGAAAATATCGAATTATGACCGCCTAATTTTGTGTTTTGTCACACTGTGTGTCGTCAGATGTAATCTTCCAGTGGGAAACTTTCTAATTTTGAGCAAGCTACGTCGTTTAAATGGTTTTTGATAGCCGTTCAAAGCAGACAACCTTGTGTATTTTTACGAAAATGGAAAAAAGTGAATTTTGAGTGCTGATTAAGCATTACTGGCAAAAATCCACGAATTGGGATACGAACTGCTACCTCATCCAGCATATACTCCAGATTTGGCCCCATGCGACTATTTTTTATTTCCAAACCTAAGGAACTGGCTGGGCGGTAAGAGATTTGAGTCAAATGAAGAAGTTATTACCGCAACAAACGCGTATTTTGAGAGCTTTGAGAAAACCTATTATTTGGAGGGAATAAGAAAATTGCCGAAAAAAATTTGTTTTATTCAAAAAGTCACTGACTTATTAAACCTCCCTCGTATGTACAGTAGGGTGTCCCTTATATGGGTGGAAAAAATTTTTTTTTAGATATCGAAATGTATGCCTCCTACTTCTTTTTAAACTACACAGACTTACTTAAATACAAAATTTCATCTTCCTACGTCAACGTTAACCCTTGCCGACAGAATTCTGAAGATTTTGAAAATTGCTGTTTTTAACCCTTTCCGTTATATATCTAAATCAATTGAAATATTGGAATTTTTATGAAATATTTATTAAAAGATGATAAAATTACAGATCAAGCAGGATATTTTCTTTTGAGGGTCTCTTTTTTACAGTCTGGATACAGATTTCTATGCTCCTGAACACAGTGTAGCAAAAATTTCTTTTGCTCATCCTTTGCAGTGATCAAACCATGAAAATCTTGCATAAGTTTTACAGCTCTTTCAGCCGTATCATTAACTGCCCTTAAGGAAAGCACTTTCCTTTTCGTCTCCGAATAATCAACATCTTCATCCCATGTAAAAACGGGTCTCTGGATAAAATTTTTATCAATTTTTAATCAAGAAAATAAATTTGTGCTCTTAACAGACACAAAATAACTTAATGATTTTCCTGCAACAATAAATAAGGCAGTGTTATTATTAATATATTGAAAACAGTATTTAAAATAGTACTATTTATTGTATTCCTACTTACTATATAAATAATTAGACATATCTTCTTTAGATGGAATGGATCTCTCCACAGAATCATACGAACTCTCTCTTTGGAAATTCACTACAATGTTTGTTTTGATTTGTTCATTAACTTCATCATCAAAGAGTGATAAAACGACAATTTCTTCTGACAAGTACCAAAGATTTTGACTAAACTTGTTTAGAGCTGCTTTGGAGATCAAATTGTCAAAAGTTTCATATTCCTTAACCCTCTTTAAAAAGCACAAATTTTGATTTGATGCCTTTACCGCCAGACTACATCAAGCCATGGTTTTACATAAAAAACCGCAATGAATAAACAGACGTCTTGAAGTGCTCGCTTATCCTTGGCGCTAATTTTGAACTGGGATTGCAACAAAAATATCTTTAAAGAGTAAATAGCTCTAGTCATCCAGCTTGCTTAATGCTTCGCTCCAAGAGGTCTAATTTTAATTTTTTTCACTGTTTCCGATAATCGTCACGTCCAATGGTTTTTCGCAGTTCTTGTATTACAAAAATGTCGTGTGATGTTATTTTTCAATGGCAACAGGATTAATAATCTTCCAGTTGTCTCTAAATTTTTTGTACAGTGGGATACCGAGGCTACTTGTGACTTGGTGGATTTTTGTTTCGAACATACATTTTAAAACCAGTTCGTAAACCTGACGGCGGCAAGCAAAGAGTAGTAATTCCCTATTTAATTTTTAATCCAAAAGTACACAAACTCCTTTCAATCGCCCTGTATTAGACGCAGTTGTGTCACAGCACATTATTTGTACTTTGTCATCGCGGTTCCAGTCATAAAGTGCGTTCAGCTTCAGCTTGATCCTGGCCAAAAGAGCTTTCCAGTTTGGGTGCAGCTAAAAGTTGTTCCTTTTATACAAATGAAATTAGTAGTATTGGCAGGCGTTCTTCTGTAGAACTTCTCACGTCAAGTCCAGGTAATAATTTCACATCCCAATGAACGGTCACCATTTCAGGCATATTATTCTGAAAATCTAATTTTATAGATTCCGCTCTATCTTTTCGACTCTGTTTGCGAATACGTTAAATAGACAATTTGTTTATCAGAAAATCATCATAGCTAAGGTCTAGTGCCTCTACTACAACCTGAAGTATATAGAGAGAATCCCTTATGCTTAATTGACATCTATCTAAAGCTGCAACTTGCTTAGGCATGATAAAGTTTTTCTTTCCTCTTTTTGTAGTAGTTTCAGAACTTACCATTTGAGAGGTGGATGCCAAGGGTTCCTGAAGGCTTTCATCATCAAAGCTAGTAAGTTGATTGTGATATCCTTGCATTTGAATAGAATCTTGCGTACTAACAGATGACGATAAACTTCCGAAACACATTTGCTCACATCTTTTTTCTCTTCATTTAGTTTTAATTCCTTGAAGATCTACTAGTTTTTTTACACAGTTAGGTATAGCTCTGGTAGGGATTCTAGCTTTTTCCCAAAATATAATACACTCCCGAATGACAAGATTAGCGCTTTCACTAACAGTCAATTTCACCTCGCGAATGTTAAAAAAAAGTACTGCAAGAACTTGACGATTAGACGGTAACTTTGCGCCTGTTATTGAATAATTTACGTCACCAACTAAGAAAACACATTTATTATTGCTTCTTAATTCCACTGCCATCTTTTAAATGTAAAACAATACGTGTTAATCGCGAGAATAATTGAGAACAAATGACAAATGACATGGATTAGCAACATTTTATCACATTACTGACATTCTTCACTAATAAACATTCTGTAGCTTTGCTACAATATTATATTTGGATAAAGGATAGGTCTTCAAAAAAATAGGTCTTTAAAGCAGCAATCGAATGAAGACCTAAGAAAATTTTATCTTCATTAGCAATTAAGTTTATTGGCCGAAAGCCGTTACACACACAAACAGTTAAATAAATGCCAACGTGGACAACATGAATCTAGTTATTAGACGAAGATAAAGGAATGAAGGAATCAATGATGGCACCAGTATTTTAATACGCTTTAGGGACATGCAAATTATTAAGAGCAGATAAAATGTAGATAGGTGTATTGAAATTCGTTCTAAACCGTACTTACGTACAGATAAGAAAAATGATAGGATTGTCAGATCAAGCTGTAACTTAATGTATGTGTAGCACTACTAAAGAGAAATATTATTAATCCAAATATAATATATCTAAAATATCATATCAGAGTAAAATTCAATATAGATCTTAGAACAAGCCGTGATAAAGAATAAGAAAAATTAATAGAAAAATTTTATTTTCAAAACTAAAAATTGACATCGGTTCATGTCATTTTATTAAAATTAACTACCTTTTGCTAAACATAATATTAAATAAAAACAAGGTAAATTTATACAAAGATACATTTTTGCTTGTGATAAACACGTAAGAAGTGTTTATGTAAAACTTTTTACCAGTTAAGAAAATAATTATTATATTAAAAATAATTAACTAAAAATTTACCGCGTATAACGTTCATCTTCAAACATAATCTTGTGTAACGATTCGCATGCCAAAAAAATAATATTATATAAATATACAAGTGACTAAGTTTCCATGCACTTAAATATTATCTTGCAAAATAAGTTAATACTAATTCGCTCTTATGTAGTTATTTTCGAAAATGTCTAATTCATTTTGTATGTAATTTGCCTTGTTGCGTAGTAGTTTCAGTTGCTTTTGATTGGCTTCTAGAACATTTAATTGCGCTTCAATAGCTTTAAGTTCCTCGTTCATATCAGTAGTAGCGGAGTCTACAGTTCGACATAAGCGAGCAAAGGTACTTGAAAGTTCTCTGTAATAAATATTTAAACGAATAACTGCATGTGAACACAATAACATAACTTAAGAACATACTGCTGCACTTGATGGCTACAGTTCGCTGAAGTCAAGTCTACAATCATTTTAAGTTTCTTTGTAGCGTGACGCACATATTGTGATTTGAAGGAACGTTCTTTTGCTGAATTTGTCCAAGAAAGTCGTTCGTAAAAATATATACAGCCATATAGAGCACCAATACCAACAAGAACGCGCCAGCCAATAGTTTTTAACATCTGGTTAAAAAATTATAAGAACAATTTTTATTTTTTACAAAAAATTAATAAATACTTACTATTCCAGCTACAATAAGGCCACCTACAGTGCCCTGGGATCCAATTGAAGATACAGCAAAACGTGAAATTAGTGACAACTGCTCCTGTGTTATACCACTACTTGCTGTAGGCATTAAACATAAAGGAGTCTCATTGACTGGCGTTGTAGAGGATATACTTTTCTAAAGAAAATTATTTTATTTCATAAAGATTTTTATATCGCTGTAACATTTTTAATTATTCCATAAAAAAGTGTTATGCACATTTTAATAAGTTCAATTTATAACTAAAAAAACGCAGTATTGATATTAGTATATTTATCATTTGTACTTACTCCAATGCTATTCTGGCGATGTAACACCGCTGGGGCTCTTTTATTTCGTTCTTTTACTTTTCCAGTAAATCGTTGAATCATCGCTGTTATTCCCCACGAAAATTTAAATTCCAGATCTTCTTGAAAATCTGCACATAAATTTTGACAATTCAAGGAATACAACATTTCGAATGGTTGTGACCTGGCTGCAACTTTTGTTTGCACAACAAGCTTTTCATTGGGCACTAGAGCATGCATCCGATCTATAATTAATTAAATCACATTTATATATTATGTATGATGTTATATTTTTAATCTACCAGTCATATCACGTTGAGCTGACTCGACATTCATTGCTAACGCCATTGATAACCTAGCTCGTAAATTTGAGCCCAATCCAGATTCAACGTGCGAATTCAATTCCTTTTTATATATATTTAACACCAACGGTTCTGTGTGAAATGGCATATTGAATTCATCAATTAAAACACCTAAGCGCCAAATTTCTTCATTTAGTGCCTTAGACACCTTTTGCTCTACCTCCTCTACCATATTATGAATTTTGAGTTTCATTTCTCGTGTAACTTGCATCATTTCTGTTTCTGTCCCTTGAATGCGGTCAGTAAGCAAGGTTTTTTGGTCCAACTTCAAGTTACGAAATATTGCAGTCCGTTCACAAATATTATCTAGCATAGATCGCATGTCACCAGCTACTGTTTTTCCCCGAGAACTATGTTGTTCAAATTTTGTTTTTACAGCACTTTGAGAGATACATTCTTCAAATTTCCGTTCAAAATCTTGAAATTCAAAGTAGCGCATTTGAAAACCTTCAGCTATTGCTCCAAGGTGGGGTGGGTTTCCTTTCGCTTCCTCTACTCTAGCCTACTCAAAAATTAATTATGTATTAAAAATGTAATTCAAATCTAAAAACCTGTAATGTTTCACGAGCCGATACAAAAAACACACGTTCTGCAGCTTCCTTTTCGTTGCTAACTTTAAGCTCCTTAGTAAGAAAATCAATACAACGTTCCGTGTGCTGTGACTTAACCTAAAATTATATGTATACTTTCTCCAATAATGTGTCTTGTACAATATACGATTATTTACGATTTAAAAAAAAGCAAGCAAAAGGTTATTTTACCTTTTCAAGCTCCTGATTTTAGCAACAAGTTAATACAAACAAAACCGAAAAATTAATATTTTTTTTAAATTTAGCAGAAAAAAACTTTCTTCCTTACCGAATCCTGAAATTCTGGTTCGTTGGCTGATGCATCCCAACGATTATTTAAAATAAAAATATTAGGCTTAGAAAGTTTTTGAGATACAGTATGAAAAAACTGTTTCTCTGCTCGAGTCATTGTCGACTCAGCATTTAGCACCAATACAAATACGTCAGCGTTAATACAATGGTTATCAATCCAATCATCTAGATTTGCTGAAACGTCTACACCAGGTGAATCTACGAAGACAACATCATCTCGCAGCAAACTGCACCTTTCTCGTGGCCAAAATATTCGCACCAGCGAACTCTCACTAAGTTTTTCTTGACAAAGGGCATTTGCAAGTTGTTTTATATTCTTTAAATTAAAATTGCATATTAAAGATTATTTATTTAAAGCCAGCATTTTAATATAAGGTCATAAAAATAGAGCATTGTTTAAAATGAAAAAAAACTTACGACAACATTTAGCTTTTCATCCGAACCTTCCTTAATTAAATAAGCTTCTTGTCCATCGCAACCTTCTACCTGACAGAAACAATTTGTGGTGTGTCCTATACCGCTTGGCAAAATTTTTTCTCGTAGCATCGCATTTATAACAGAACTTTTCCCATTTGATGTGCGTCCAAAAAATGCTACTTTCATGTGATCTCGCGATAGTACCTCCCGAATAGCCGCCACTTTATTTACATAACTTTCAAAAAGTTCACGCTCAGATTTATCCACGATTTCAGCATCAGAATGTAGAGCTGAATGACAGTTACAAAAAAATAACATAAAATGGTGAAATAAAATGTTTAAATTTATGTTACCAATAATAAATTGGGTTGTCTCGATTACATACTCCTCGATCTCTCCGTATATATCATTAATTTTCTTTTTTGCTCTGACAAAAACCTGCAATGGGGATTTTTCGAGGTTGGCGTTTTGCATCGATCGATTTTCAGACATCAAAGCATTCATGTCGAAATTTGTTGTGGCAGCAGCGGTTCCGCCGTTTCCAGTGACCATTGAAATAGTGCGATTCAAATAGGCCGCCATTGATAAGAAAACAAAATTGACTTAATTAAATATGAAAATATTTTCACTAAGGAACTCTCGATTGCCTCAGCAAAAACGCGGAGAATATTTCAGAATACAGAAATGGTTTGTACAGAATTTATATTATGTGAATGTTATCAAATAAAATAAAGTCAAAAGCATTTATACAACTGAAAAGAAAAATGTGAAAAAATTAAAAACAACTAAAATCTTTTAGAAATAATATAAACGTGTTTTAACATTTTGCTTATCTAATGACTAATTTCATTATTTTTGATATTGTTTTATTATTATTAACTGCATTATTTATATACACAAGTAATTTACAAATTTAGTTTATCCAAAAATTGTAGTTTTACATTTCTTGTAGTTTAAAATATATATAATTGGCGAAATATGTTTATTGTTTTCAAATTGTGTTTAGAAACAAATGTACAGGAGGTACATATTCTTCGTTTGACAGGTTTTTCATGTAGTTCTCCGATATTTACCAATAACAAATGAAATATTAAACCGGTGAATGTGTAGAGTTCTATAACTTCGCAATGTTAACGCAGAAAGACATAAAAACTTACTACTGACGTTTATATTGAAGCCAAAAGCAAATTTGTGAAACTTTTATATAACATAATGTACCTTACTAAAATTGCGTTTCGCGCAATTCGATTCTAGTATTTTTTTTAAACAAATAAAACAATATAGCAAGCACTCCGATGACGAATACCGAAAGCATACACAATTTTCCCCGAGCTTTTAACTAACCTGATTGTGCACAACATTAGACATTTTAAGCAATCAGTAAACTCTTCGCGATGTTGTTGTTGCTAACTTATATTAAAGAAGACATCCAGAATTTTTATTGGTTTTTGTTTCTTTATCCTGAACAACTTCAAATCTCTAAAACAATATACTGCGTTTGCAAATGATGTAACAGCTTATCTCACATATCTAAGCTGACAGGCTGGTATAAGTCAGCAAATTCGCTGTGAAGAACAGGGTTGTTACAATAAAACTTATCAAAATAATGTAGAAATACTATTATTCAAGGAAATGAATTAAACGAGCTTAATATGGCATTTATACTACGTTTACATTGTGAATTTAATAGAACGAGATTAAGTTAATCTACATTTTTAATCTCCACCGTTTACATTATTGAAGATTAATTTTGACGTTTTTCTTGTTGAGTTCTGTCTTCTAAGATTAGAGTTGCACAGAAAAAAAATCAAAATTTCTAGGGAGATAAACAATTAATCTCGACTAAAAGGAGATTATCTTTTATATGGGAAATCTGAGATTAAACAACGAGATTAGTACTTTAATCTTGATTGTTGCTTTAATCTACTTTTAATCTCACAATGTAACGCCGTATTACAAATGAATGAAATATAAACACTTTCAAATGACTGATTTGAAATGAGTCATGTCCCCAGTGTCAATGCCATACTCGTATAACTCTGAAGTGCTGCCGTGCTGAATTTGCTCGAAAAATGATGTTCTTTCGTTAGAAATTTATTTTGGATTCTTGAACATCAACCTATTAGCCAAGATGTATTTAACTACCTTGACGTATGACTAAACTACTAGTCAATATGTATGTATAAATCTACCTTGACGTATTACTAGCTACAAGTCAAGATGTATAAAGCCACCTTGACGTATTACTAACTACTAGTCAAGATGTATAAAGCTACCTTGACGTATTACTAACTACTAGTCAAGATGTATAAATCTTCCTTGACGTATTACTACTGACTTACTGCACAAAGACGTATTACTATCTTTGCGAGTTTTCCAACAAGTACCCTTGCTTGTACAATGCGCGATTATTTATACTTAAACGATCGAAGCTTTTCCTGTAGTGCATCGGTACATTTGCCGTTGGTATTTTTAATACTTGTTGTCTTTTGTTGCTGTTGTTCGCCTGGGTGTAATTTCTGTGCTTTGTGTTTTCTGTGTTTACAAACGTGTTTTTTTAATATAGTGCCGGTGTTTGTAGTTTTAATATTTATATATATTTATTAATAAATAATAAAAAAAAATTAATAAAACAAACAAAAAATAAATAAAATAAATATATAAATAGTGCATAAATAAGGTGTGTATATTCTTCCCTTATTTAAATTCATTTCTTTATTTTTTGTTAATTGCAATAATAATTTCAGATGTATTCCGTGTGTTGCTGATGCAGATACAGATAAATAAAATTAGATAATCTATTTTATTTTAGATTATATTAAAATTCTTACAGTGAGGTAAATTAAATTATATGTTGCTTGTTAAATATAGTGTATTGTGATGTGTAACTAAAATGTCTTTTGAAGTTAATAGTATAGTGTTGTTGTTGTTGATTGTTTATACTGCATCTATGTATGTTGGAAATATGTGAATATTTTCTTCCTTACAATTACAAGCAATTTATGAAAAAAGGATGTGTTGCTTACTGCCATTTTTCTTCTAAAACGTATTAGAATGTAGTAATTTGCTCCTAAAAGGTGCAAATTTTAAAATTTATTACTAAACAACACTGTTTTGTCTTAGTGCCGGGACAAAAATATGGCGGCTCTCATGCTGGCGTTTAAACGGCCATCTTGTTTCTGCTCTTATTGTTAAATTTTAAATTTGCATTGAAAACAACAGCAATTGTACTCATGCCGTGCCCGAGACACTCTGCATAACATGGCCCTAACATGGCCCCAAGGACTTTTAAGTTGAAAATATTACATGGGATGCAAGTGCAATTAGATAACCAGTGTTGATTATTTATTGTCGTACTCATGATGTGCGAAATTAATTTATGCAGTGAATATCAAACTGTGAAAACAATCAAATTTCACATACAACCCTGCGTTGTTTGTTTGTTTTATGAAAAATAAATGTTTTTCATTTCAACAATTTTTATTCCAAACAAGTTTTCTTTGTTAAATCATTAAACTGCGTAAGAACAACAGAAATATGTTGGTGTGGGCAGCGCTTCGGCAGTTCAATTTAACAATTTTACCAAGAAGGAATCAAAAACGAGTGTTAGGCGTTTGTCACTTTACAGACGTATGTATTCTACGTATTCTATTATAGATGAAGTAAATAAATTAATTTATTGAAATCAAATTAAAATACAGTTTTCATAAAATTGATGATTTCTGATTTAAATAAACTTCTCACCATATTATTAAATAATATAAACAATATAATATATATATAAAATATATATAAAATAATATATTTATAATACCTTATTTTACATACATATATATTTAAAATTTACTAGAATTAAAGTATTAATTTTTTTCATGCTATTATTCTATGCATAATTTTAGGTTAGGTTAGGTTGTACCGGCCATCCAAGGGATCCAATAAGTTTAAAACCACCTTAAACCTTTGGTAAAAAGTATAATGCTATTTTAGGGGAGGTCGTGGAGTTGACGAAGAACCTCAAAAAGGAAGGTCTTAAAGTGGTAAAACGGCGCCGCGCATGTGCCGGACAAGACCTAAACAAATGCGGAATTTCTGCTACCCAGAGCCAAAAATATTATTGAGCTACAAAATGATTGCAGCCTATGTCGATAAGTGGATAACTTCACTTCATCTTAACAGGTGGAGAGAGATGAGCACTTGTAGACAGTATAAACTCATGATGCCGATAGCGTTGATCAGGGAAGCGATAAAAGTGTTTAGCTATCCGAGGAGCACCCTAAGTGGGCAGACCTCACTGATTACTGTACATGGAAATATTAAATATAACCTCAAAAATATAGCTCTTGTTGAGAAAGACACTTGCAGACTATATCTAGTAGAAGAGGAGACAACGGTGCATATATTGTGCCAATGTTCAGCACTGACAATCAGGAGGATGATTGTCTTGGGACACCATTGGATTGACGATGGCTTGGCAGCCAACCTCAAGCTAAATGAGCTGCTTGTACTAACAAGGAATGCAGTCATGCGAACGGAAGCCACTTTAGCTTGAACTCAATAACGACATCCGAGAATTCGAAGGACGAAAAAGAACCCAAGTCGTTTCATGGTATACTTCAGCGGGGCTACTTGTTCGACGGTGCGCTGTCCCAATGTCCCACAATATATATATATATAAAGCAGGTAGAAAGTACTTTCATCGTCCTCTTCGAAACTGCGGCAGGTATAATTAAAGAAAAAATTCAATCTTCTACCATGGTTACCTTATATACAATGAGTTTGATTAAACCTGCCACAAGAGTGATATCTTTACGGAGCATCTCATGGAGAGAATTAAATTTTTTTAACACTGCAGTGATGAGAAAACTGAGATTATTCCTCTACCTAGACCACTACTTATTTTTGATATGTCAGTTAAAATAGTTAAACCGTCTCCTAATGAAGGACCTCCTGACAGCCATATACCACTAGATGAAAATTCGACATTGAATTTTCTTTCTAAATTGGGAATAAAAGGAATGTAGTAAATGTTGCTTGAAGTGAGGCTGTAAAGTTTTAGAATAAAGCCCTCTACTAGTCACTAGCCTTTCATTATGATATAGCTTTAAGTCTACTAGCATATGATGTTACCAACTGTTTACTAATGATATCAAGTGAAGCCTTCGGTCTAACGCAATAGATGGTTGAACTCTGGTAAGAACCGTATATTACGAAGATTTGTCAGGAGCCGTCTACCATGATGTTAAGTCATGACTGTGACATCGGGCCTCAGAGGATAATTCATATTAAATTTAATTGAAATCTAATTAAATCTACAACAAGCTTTGATTGCCATTTCCATTTTAATTAATGTCATTTATTGAAATAAATACCATTTAGATTTGTGACGATATGCGAAAAGTGATATTATACGGCTTGCAGTTTTGTAACAAAGCACGCAGTGGTGCCATGTAAAGAAGGTACACAATGAATGGGATGAATGGGAAAAGCTTTGAGATGTTTTTCAGTCAGTTTTTTGGTCAAGTACTTACTTAAAAAAAAAAGTATTAATAGCGGAAGCATTTAATAATATGTAAATTCGTTTTGTGATACTATCGAAAAATTGAAATATATATAAATAAAATTGCTTAAAGAAATAACTGTCGATCGAACACCTTTGGGCATATTATTGTAGCCATGGAATGCCGAGACACTTAAAATTGATAGAAAAAGCTCAAGACAAGCAGCGAACTCTGAAACAAAGAAAAGAAAGAATACAGAACAGAACAGTAAATGCAAGCGACGCGTACAGATTATTATTATAATTGGTTTTAAACGTAATCATCGTGTGCACACCACTGTACATTGTAGAGAAAACAGCTTAAGTAGAAAGATAGGGCACAAGGGACTGCATTTTACGAGAAGGTAGCAGTATCGTATGGAGGGTAAATTGAGCAAGAAAATTTGGTGTCTTGACAGTGTCGCTACTTTACGTCTGTGTTCTGACAGAAACGTTTTTTCGTCGTTTGAAGAAACGTTTTAGCAGACAACACAATTGCTAAAGGTGGAAAAGGTGGATGTAACGCAAATAATATTCCGATTGTCATTGTGTTTACAACTTGCGCTAAGAGTAAACTTAAAACTTGTGTAAAGCCTTTTCCGGTTGCGGAAAATTCTCGTTCCGAACATGTAGTTAATACATAATGATATGTACGGTCCGATGAATCAAATTCGGCACTTCGAAGATATGATGGGATAAAGAGATGAAATTTATATTGCTATATTTAAAGAAGACTGTTAATTTGTAAATGCAATATATCTATAGAGGGTTATGTTAGTGCTGACTGAGTTTGCGGTACAATTGCTCGTAGACGCGCTCAAGATATTTCACGGCAGCAGAATATGGTTTTAACTGGAAATTGGAAAACCAATCTATAGTAGCAGCTACGCTAAATATATATTGCAATTTCTATGACGGCTAAGGAAGAAATATGCTTATGTAGTCTTCTGCAAGACAGGTTCTTTAACTCAAGAAAATTCATGACTTTGTGTAATGATAATTAAAGTGCACAATTTCTTGTAAAAAATCCAGCCTGTCACATATGAACTAAACATATTGACGCGGAAAATAATTCTGTAAGACAGGTATACAAAAGTCCACTAACAATATGATGACGGACATACTCAATTTTTAACAGATTTAGGATTTTCTTTTGTAAGCATGTCGCAAAAGAACAAATAAAATAAGCACTACTTTCGGTGGCAATTCTGAACAAAATAGAGATTTTGTTCGGCTTATATATGCAAAACACGTAATAAAATTTAATGTTGAAATTTTAATAATGAATAACAATTCTTTGCAATTATTGATGAGATTATTTTTATTACATGATTCTAAATAAAATATAAGTTTTCGTGCGTTTTAACAGTATATTAATAAATAGAAAAACTAACACAAAATACGAATAATTAAGAAATCATTTGTTGACAATTAACAGGAAACTTCGTATGAACTTCCAAAAATCATTCACAATAGACGAATTTTTAGTGTTGGCAACCATGTGATTTGACCTGCTTATTAGTTAAGCAATTTCAAAAACGTTGGACTAAAAAAGCCAACTATAGGCCTTTTCGGTGGCTCGCAAGTACGACAAAAAATGCATGTTGGCCTATGTTGGCCACGCGAGTTATTGGCATCACTGTTGCAATCTGTCAAATGTTTTGTTTTGACAAACAAATCTTGTATATGTGCATATAAATCAAATATATTTTTATAAAAATATTATAAAATTAAAATGAACACGGAATTAAAAGGAATGGTAAGAATATTGGAAATTTAAAAATAAAACACTAAGATAAGTAAATTTTTGTAGGTACTGTCGATGTTGGGAGAAGAAAGCAACGTTTTGCAGCGGCCGAGGGATGCAAGTTGTTTCACGGATTTTTTAAATGTTAT